TTTATTCACAGCTTTGAAGCATGAAGTCTAGATGGCAATCACTGAGTTTAAAACGGCTTAAAATCATGAGGGTTTACCTTGCTCACTGTCATAGGAATCCTGACAATGGCAAAACTGTTCTGAATATGTCTGTGAAAACTGTTGAGACATTTTTTCTATATTTTTCTTAACATCTATTCATCTAAATGAATAAGTTACAATTTTCTACAAGTCATTTATTTTAAAAATTGAGAATGGTATTTGGAAAGAGCTTCTAATTGGATGAAATAGGGAAAATATTGCTAAATGTAAGCAGCTTGTGGTATTGAACATGCTGAATCTCCTGTAGCATTTTTAAAAATCTCCCAAAACTGTGTGCATAAGTTAGTTTTGTGTGCTTAGGAGACAACTTCAAATCGCTTGAGGTGGCTAAGCAGCAGATCACTTTTGGCTCTTACTGTGTTTGGCTATATTGGCATTTCTTATCTTTCTTTTATTTACAATTTAGCATTGAGCACTGTAAGGCTCCAAAAAACTCACTTGATGAGGCTTTTAAAAGGGCTTATGGTTGTTCCTGCACTCTGAGTTAGAAGCAGAGGAGAAATACTAACAAGAGGCCAGAACAGCAAAATAAGACTTTATTGGCAGCTCTAGAATATGAGATAACTTTGCAAGAGGTATAGAGAACTTCCAGAGCATTAACTTAGCTCATTCAACTTCACAAACTCTAAGCCCTTTCAATTTTAAGTTCCTCAAAAAACCCAGGAAGAGGGAATTAGAAGAAGGAGGAACAGAAGGAGAGAAAGACAGAAAAGATTTAGAATAGGGTACATATAGCTACCAGCTCCTGGGTGTCACTAGTGCTCAGCTGTTAGAAATTCCAAGAGGAGATAGAGTCAAGACATTTTTGCCACATGTTTGGCCTTAAATACTCCTTGGGCTTCCTGGGCCCTTCCTCTAGCTGGGATTTCTGGTCACTTGGCAGCTCTGGGGCTTAACCAGGGCTCCAGAGCTGGGGTGTGAACCATTGCCTCTTGCTGTGCCAGTGATTGGCAGCCTAGGCCAATGATGACAGGGCTGGGATACAGGATCTAAGGGGTGGGGAGTGCAGGACATGGCATCATCACAACAGAGGAAGGTCTGACCTGCCCCCTTCCCCACACACATGCACCCCAAAATGTCTTGAGACATAAAACTTTCCAATCTCTCATAGCCGCTCCATAGCTCGAGGCATTGACTGTGACAACAGTAATGGTACCTTTCCTCTTGTGGCAACTGTGGGATCCTAATCTTGTAGACAGAGGTGAAAGGAAAGAAGAGTCCTCAAAATTGCAGGTAGGGTGCAGTGCAGACCAGGATCTGGGAGAAGAGTTCATGTACCAGTCTTTCAGCTTCAGTGATCAAAGAGTCCAATAGATTGGTTGGTGATTTCCCTTGTGTTTCCAGCCTGTCACAATGACATGCAGACTTCCTTGCACATTTCTCTTCCTCTTCTCTCCCTTCTACCTTTCCTCTCATTATTTCTTTCTTTAAATATGGCAGATATGAAGAGTGTTATCTTTTTACTTTTCATGTTAAGATAGTTTGGATAACTTGTAAAGTCTCTCACAGGAACTCAGGTCAAAGAAACTAATGGTCTGGTTAGTTCTGAGTTTCCTGGTTCAGAATGGAAAATTAAATTGTTTCAAATTATACAAACTGAATTTCAGAAGTCAGCTGAAAAGCAGCTTAGAAAGTAGAAATATTTTGTAAAAGCACTTGAGATTTCTCTGCACATTTGTGTCTGGAGTCTGATCACTTCTTCACTTACGATGAATGCTTGAATTGCCAACCAGTTCCTGATTTGTGATACTCTGCTACCCATTGTAAGAACATCCCTATGACATTATTAGTTAAGCACAGCCCCATACAAAGTACTCACATTCTTAGTTTTTTACACCCAACTAAATGACAGAAACCCTTGGAGGATTTTCTTATCGTTCTTTTTTGCTATTTCAGGCTACAAATTGTTGTAAATCTATGAACCTCAGTTTGCAGATATATAAAAAAGAAAGCTTTGAATCATAATTAAATCAATTGTAGCACTGGGGTGCCCATACAGAAGAGTATTGGAGTATTTTGAAAAGTAACTGTGCCAATCAAGGTTTGGAATCATGTTTAAGTTTTTTTCATAATATTCCCAAGGCCAGTTGGGAAGGAAAGGGATACTAGCCACCCTCATTATGCCAAGTTGCATGGGAAACATAAATTTTCTTGACCATCAAACTAAATAAGATTTATGGTTTTATAGCTAACTAAATTCAAAAATATTTATAATTATTATTCTTATAGCTCATTTATACCATAGGAAAATATAAATATTCTTGTATTGTAGAGAACTGTCTTATATTGGAGAACTGGTTTCATTGACATAAAGGTCAAATGTTTTATCAGTTTCAGTGAAACCAAAAATTCATTAAATACTATCATACCCTTGTTGCAAGTGAAATTTAATAGAAAAAGAAGTTCTTGTTGTTGCCAGATGCTCTGTCCTTTCCATAGACCAGCATACTGGGATCATATGTGCTTTGGGCAAATCTCCATCCATTGCAAGGTATAAAGTGAAAAATTGAAAGATACAGAAAGCAATATAATAACAAAATAAGAAACATCTAACCTAGGGAATTTTTACAGGTTAAGTGGCGTAGATGTTTAGAAAAGATGTACGATTATTCTGCAGAAGTAATTTCAGCATAAAGTTAATTATTCTTACTGTGTCAGGAATCTACTCAAAAAAAGTATTTTGACTTTCTATCTAAAAACTGGTTTCATGAGTAAAAGGCACAGAAGACGTGAAGTCAATGGTGTTTTGAATATTTGTGGTAGGAGACATTTTACTAATTTCAAGAATGTGTATAATTATTAGTGTTAGATGTGAATTTTTATTCCAGGGTTTGTTTATTGGAAATCTAGAGTTGCATCGAAGGACAAATGAAATTACTGGAAGATCTTTCCAGTTCAGATTTAAGAGCTCACACTTGAAGAATCATACTTCGTATTCTGTGTTCTGGTGAAACAATTTGATATCTGCATTGAAATGCATTTTCGGTTAATCTTTGTCTCGAGGCCAGTGGAGCACTGTGAATGTTGAATGTTCTTTGGCTAAAACACTGAGCACACATCACAGCCATTCCTGCTGTGCTGAAGACCAGCTGGGAAAAATATATGTACTCTGAAGTTAAAATAGTCAGAACAGGTCCCCTACTTGATAACAGCTGAGTGCTGTAGTCAAATACAGCTATTGCAGCGGGATTCTATTGATTTATACTGGATAAAACTGGTGCTTTTATCAAACAGTTTTGTGGCTACTCAGCAGTCTGTGTCAAGCCATAGGCAAAGATTTTCAGGAAGTTCCTGGCATCCAGAGAGACAGAGAAAAACTGGTTATTATACCAGGCAAATCGCTCAAATCACTTAACAGCACGCCTGCCTCAGTCAGATGGAAAGCAAATTCACATTATTCAGATTATACTGCAAGCTAGCACAGCAGAAAGATTAGGCCTCCCAATTTTCCAGGTAGTGTTTAAAATCTTTTCCCTAGCTAAAGGATATAGCTGACAGTTCACACTCCAAAGTCAAGTTAATCTGTAACATTATCCGCCCATTTTGCACTGAGCAGTCCCCAAAGCAGTTTGTAATATGCATATGAACTGAACCATTGTTGTGATCAAATTTTAAATACCCTTGTGAAATGGGAAAGAAGGAAAGATAAAATAAAACCCTGCTGCTCTGGTACTGAAGATTGACAGCAAAAGGAAAAGTATTGCTTCATTGAGTGCATGACTCTGGCTACAGTGGCTGCATTAAGTTGCTGGTGGGACTTCCAGTCCCTCCTCTAATGCATGGCTAATAGCTCAGCTCTGTCGAGTCGGGAGATGAAGCTTTCCTGTTTCAGAATATTATGAAGTTGCAGTGGTGTGAAATTAGAGAGATAGTTATCGTAAATTTGTTTCGGACAAGGATACTTGGTTAATACAGCTCATGAATGCTTTTCCATGTGGTAGGTGTTTCACAGTAACTCACTGCTGCAGCAGCAACAGTGCAAAGCGATAGCAATATATATTGCATTTTCTGAATTTGGTGGCTTTTAAAATGATTTATTGTACTGGAGATCACACATCTGTTTGAAAGCAAGAGGCGAAACTGACCACAAGGAAACAATTGCAATTACGGCAAAAAGGTAAAAAACAACACATCATTGTTCAGTCTTCTCCTGGCATGTTGCCCTCTTCTAGAGTGGTTGACACCATAATTAATTATATCCATTTGCTTCATAGTAGTGAAATTTACTCCTGACTTTACTGTGGACGCAGAATTGATCCCATTTGAAAAGCTATATAATTGACTGAAATAACCTCGACAACTTAAGTATGTCATGAGATTTACAAAAGCTTCTATACTTGATGACTCTTGTCAAATTTGAGAGCTCTTTGTTGGTATAGTCTATAGTATGAATAGATAATTATTAAAAAGGGTGTCATTCATTTTATTGCTGGTAATATTTTTTCTTTGTGTTTTTAGCTATTTGCTCTTTTTTTATATTTGCCTCTACTATGTGTTATTCTTGCAAAAAGAAAGTTAGAAGAAAATATTTTTTCTCTCTTTACCTTACCTGGGCTTCACAAAACACAAGTATTTAATCCAGGTTTCCTCACAGAGCAACAGAGAAGTCTAAAATGCATTAGCCCCATGCACACACACCCTTCCCCCCTCCCCCTTCCAAAAACTGTATTTAAAGTTTTACTTTGTTATTTCTCTTATTTGACAGGCTATGTTTTAGGAGAATATTTAAGCAATCCTGTAATTCAAGCAATGGGAACTGAAATCTCATATGACACTTTTAGGACCAGTGCAGCTTATTAAGTACTGAGAAGATTTTATAGCAGTATCTGTTCTCCCAAGGCTGCATTGGAAGTACAAAGACAGCAGCTTTTCGACCTCCAAATTGCTTCAGTAAACATCACATTAACAGTTATAAAAAGCTTATAATTGCAGGGAAAATGAAGAAAGCAAGTCAATGATGAAACTTCCACCTACTATTACACAGTCTTAGTCTTGGTAATATAAAAATGTAGTCAGCAAAAATGTTCAGTATCAGTCTGCTTTTAACTGATAAATTAGAAAGATGAATCATATATGATGTAACTAATATGAATTGTGTTGATTCCTAACCAAATCCAAATACAGTTTATAGAAGTAAAATTCTAGAATATTACTGAGTTCTAGTGATCGTTAGAAATAAGCGTGAAAAAAATAGTGTTACCTAGTTGTGAAAAATCAGTAATGAAACCATTAAATTAGTAATACTGCATATATTAGTAATACTAACATATGTCTTAACTGATTTACTAACTTCATTGTGATAGACATTTTTATGTTAATATTCATTACCTTGATGTAAATGTAATCATAAATTCTGACACAAATATTGTTTCCATAGCAATTGGTCACAAAGAGTAATTCATTAATATTCAATGAAGTGTTAATATGTGCAGAGTCTAGGGTTACTGTAAACTTCATTTTTACTTTAGATGGAAATATGTTGCAGCGCAAATCTGTGTATAATTGTATTAATCAGTCCCAGAGAGTATTTGAGGCTGAAACTTATATTGTTCTTTTATGTTCAACCTACAGTGGTGCAATATGAAATTATTATCTTGACAGAGGATGAGTTTTCTAATATTCTTAACATCCTACTCCACAAATCTAGTTAGAAGCAACTGGGTTATGTTATGATGCCTTTGATTTTTTTCTTTTTTAGTACATGAGTTACAAATTCAGAAGGAAATTCAGTCTCATTTCTGTTAGAAACTTGAGAAAAGAGAAAGAAAGACATAATTAAGTTATTTTTTAGAGAGGGACATTTTCAGAGAAGCATCTGTCACTAATTTTTGGGGATCTTTATTAGACTGTGAATATAAAACCTATGTATTTTGTTTTAAAATATGTAGGATAATTTTTTTTATACATCTATACAGCTGAAAATAGAGCTGCACATTGGCAGCTGGGAACAGCTGCTTATAATAGACTTAAATTAGTACACTTTGGAAGTGAAAGTAGGCAAATGAATTCCTGAGGTTTGTGGTAATATGGATTTCTTGACTTTTCATAGGTAGTTTGGTGGGAAATACCCAAGGCAAGGTAAAATAAATCAAACATCAAACTCAAAAGGGTCCTTCTCTCAAGCTTCTATCGACCTGTAATATATGATTATAAAATATACAAAAATAATGCTGAGCATGCTGCATATCAAAGGTGCATAGTACCTTGCCATTCCAGCTGCTGACCTTCTTTCAATCCTCATAATAGAATCATAGAATAATCTAGGTTGGCAAAATCCTATAAAATCATTGAGTCTAAACAATAACCCAGCACTGTCAAGTCCACCACTAGAACAAGTCCTGAGTGCTGCAGCTACTTATCTTTTAAATACCTCCAAGGTGGATGACTCAACCAGTTTCAATGTTTGATAACTCTTTCCATGACAATTTTTTTCCTAATATTTAATCTTAACTTCCCCTGGCACAACTTGAGTCCATTTCCTCTTGTCCTATATTGTTTCTAGATTGTCAGGAGAAAATCAAAAATTAAGAGAGAGCAAAAGTTACATACACTGCAGAAATGTCCATATTACCAAAAAACAATTTGGGAGATCAGCAAGTAGGGATACCTGCAGTTCTCAGCAGTTCTTCCTGGAAGATTACTACCTGCTGAGAAGAAGAAAAGCTTGTATCACTGTAGGAGGACATCACAGAAGTAGGTCAAATGCTCACAGGTGACTGACCAGTATGGATATGTTAATACTTGGATCTTGCTCATATGTTTTCTTTCTATTGGTTAGGGGTTTGTTTTTTTTCCTTTTTTTTCTTTTTTTCCCTTTTTTTTTTTTTTTAATAAGTATCTTAGTAATGGGCTCCTTGCAACTTGCCAGCCATCTGTCATTTAGCAGAAGTCTTTTGATAGACTACTTCCAGTATGTTGATCCCTGCTTGTCACTCAATTAAACTACACTATTACCTGACCTTTAGTAGTAAAAACTGCATACAATATTTTCACACGAAAGGATAACCTGAAGAATTCTTATTTGGAAATGGTATTTCATGATAGAGCAGTTAACTGGTTTGCCAGATTTGATGAACTAGGATTGTTGTTTTTGAAGCTGTAAAGAAATGTAGTTTATTTTCATTTTGTAAAGATATTTTGAAAATGTAATTTAATTCTTTGAACTGTTACATAATATAGATCTTAATATCTTGTATACATTCCAGCATTCCAGTTATGATTAATAGGAGTAGTTTATCTAGAGAGAACTGATCAAAAGAATGTAGGAATTTTTCAGAAAAGGAACAAAAAAATCAGTGATGGAGTTTATGAGGACTTAGGTGTTTAACAGCCATGAGCTTTTGGTTTCATGTGGAAAAACTGTAAAATAATTTCAGCACAAATACAAATTCAAACCGTGTATTCAGAGCCAAAGTATACAGATTACATTAAGCTTTCACTGTTATCTGACTTCAAGCTTTTTGATTCTGTGTTCAAGATGGTAGAAACACTGTTCTGAGCCATTATTTAAAACACTCTAAAGTTTTTTAGTTTTTTTTATCTAGAATCTCATGTTGATTTAACACATAGGAAAACTTTGATCCTGTCTGATCATATCTCAGTATCAGCTGCCATGGGGATCTTTTCTACAGATATAGCACCCAAATCTCTTTATCAATAAAACAAGATTCTGTTTAGCATCAGTCAGGCTATGCCCATTTATTTTGGTAGACTATTTTCCCCACAGGATTTATCACAGGAGCTTCAGCTTTGTATTTCCTATATCACTCATGCTAGAGAATACTCTTTTTGTCCAATTTGAATATTTCTCCAGCAGAAGAGAGACTTGCTTTTTTAGCTGACCTTTCAATTATGTTCTTCTATGTCCAATTGAAAAAAAATAGCTCTCATGACAATACTCCTTAATTCAGATCTGTCTTATTGTATGCAACTCCTCCCACACCTATGAAAACAAACTAGCCAAAAAGAAAAAAACGTAAAACAAGAGGAACTCTGTGAAATGGCACTCCAGACGCTGTATCATTTTAACACTGTGTCATCTACCTACTGTGATGATCTTCTGAACTCTTCCAGTGCCACTTGCTTACCTGTAACTTAATTGCATATTTTCTAACAAGTCTATAACCTTGTCGTGTTTCCCTTTTCACCTCCAAAAAGTGTGGCTGGTGAACAGTAGGTCTCCCCAGTTTACTTTTCAAGTGGGAGACAGGTTTGACTTGGCGATGCTGCCAACAGCTAAAGCTGGCTGAGGGCACAGTTTAACTGGCTGTCACTAATTGAAGGGAGAAGACTAATGGCCACATGTAATATTTCCACAGTAATGAGACCACTGCGCTGACACTGCTGTGCTGCTCTGTGAGAGGCTTAAATGTTTTACAGGGATGGCAAGGCAGTACCATTCTCAACCCCCTCCACCCACGCAACTTAAATGTCATAATGTAGTGAACAAGCTGACTTGGCTGAGGAATTTCAAGCAGCTTCTTTTTCAATTCAAAAACGGAAAGAAAATTTGGTCTAGTGGAAAATCAATGGCCAGCTACAACTCAATGCCAAGACCACCACTTAACCAACATCTAATGACAAAAGAAAAATATCTCCATGCAGACAACAGTAATTGCAGAGTCCTGGTATTACCATGTTAACAAGATTGTTTACATTACTTTTAAAAATATGATACTTTTATGACAGAGACATGACTTCACCAATAAATAACTAACACAGCAGATTTAGTGTGAAGAAGAATAGAGGAAGAACCCACCCCAATGAGTTCAGTGTAGAAGGGAAAGATTGGACAGCATCTGCTGTCTCCCATCGGAAGGCAGGTTTCATTTGGGAAACTGAAGCAAATCACTGCAATGTAATAAGGGAGAGAGCAGTTATCTCTTCAGACTTTCTAAAATGTGGTGTTAAATAGCTCTAGTCTGCACTCAGGTTTAGTATAAAATATTTTTTTCTCAGTCATACAGTACATTCTGGCTTAGAAATTCATTTTGTCAACATGAGCATGTTTACTGTTGCTTTCAAACTCTTTAACTAACTGGCTTGGCAGACAGGCAGCTCAGCTACGGAGAAATGTGGCTTAGCAGCTGCATCTGCCTGCCTGCTTCATAAAAAGAAAGGAGGAGAAATCATCTGAAACTTTATAGCTGTTCAGGGCAGTCTCACTGATCATTGTCCACCCTTACACATGTCCTACTCTAAGGAAAGTAATGAAAATGATAATAAGGAATGAATGGTATATTATGATGCATGTGTTATAAAAAGAGGAGGGTGTGTTATTCCAGGTAATTTGGACAGGTTTGTACATTCAAATAACTGTAAGGAAGATATTCAGCTAATTCAGAAAATTTACCTCTGTAATCTTTCATTGTGTTCCTTCAGATCTGAAAACATTAAGCTTTTAACAACCAAAACAGTACAATTAGAAAGCCCTTGCCAGGATTTTAACATAGAAATGTTTTTGTAGCATTCATTTGGCCATCCCTTGTTATTGAACTACTTGCAGGCCAAGGACAAGCCATAGGTGATGTAAATACTTCTTAATTAATATCTTAACATCAGAGGAAGTATAAAACAGTGTATATGTGCCAAAGAATCATCAAGGTCATATAGTTTGTGGAAGAATGTAGCTTTCAGATCACACAAGTGTACCTGCTTGATGTTACCTCTGCATTTGGTCCTGTTGGAGGACTTGAAACTCATATTTTAGGATTATTCAGTTACCAGTTAAGGAAAGCATTTGAACACACTTTAAATGCTATTCCAAGAGAAAACCTTTTTCTTTCTACTTCTCCAACTTAAGAGCCATTAGCTTGTACATTTTCTCACAGCAGTATTGCGATGTCACCACTGCATCAGAACCATTCTCTTTTCTGACTTTGGTCCCTTATGTCTATAGAAAAATTCTTAGCTGCACTGGTAGATCAGAGGCACTGACTCGATCTTCTCGA